TGTCCACAAGTCCCACCTGACTCAAGGATTCTGAGCTCCCTGACTTCCCAGTGTAGTGCACAGGGTAGCACGGGCTGTGCTGGGGCTACTGGTTCACTCATGCACTGAGGGTAGTATGGTCTATCTCAGAGACAAACATTCTTGGATCTCTTTGGTGTGAGTAAATGCTCACTTTCAGATCTTCAGTGCATAAACTCAAACCTCTGTATCGACGATTCCTGCTTGGTTCTTTGAATACACTGTTCTTTAAAAATTATTCTTAAGAAAAAAAAAAGAACTAATTAATTTCAAGACGTGATGTGAAAGCTTATCCCCTGCTGCTGTAAGATCTAGTGTCAAACTTCCTGTGAGAACAGCGTACTTCCTATTGCAAGTCCCTCTATTTACACCAGTGGCAGTGTTTATGACACTGTTCGTTTTTAATTATGGCTTTCCTGAAATTTTAGGAAAAATAATCACCTCTTTTTCCCCCCTCCCCAATACTAATCTTTTCAACAGTATTTAATCACAGGGAAAGTATTCTATGTAGGTGTTGGCATTCGGGATAATTTTCAGCACATCATGAGAGTCAAAGGGTGGAATTTGCCTTTGGATGTATGTGTGCACCAAGGGAAGAAAGGTGTCCATCTAAAAGAGCAGTTTGACTGAAAGTCTCTTCCTCAGTAGGAAACCTTCTATTGATTTCAGTAGATTGGCAGAAATCAACCCAGTGGGTAATTAACACAGGTAGAAAGCTGGCCTCATTTTTATGACATTGCTTAATGATCATGTTCGTTGCTTTCTTACTATTGCTTCAGAAGTGCCTCGGTTATCATTCATTGAATTTCTTTTGGTTGGGTCTGTGTAATTCTTTGCTTTTCAAAGTCAAAGTGTGAACAAGAAGTGCAGAATTTCATCACAAAAGCTGTACAATGCAGAGGAATTGACACCTAGAGAAACAAGCAGAGTTAAACGGGATTTGACAGGCTGCAGAAAAGAGAGAATGAACAAGATGCAAACAATGAGCAGCAACTACTTATCATTTCACTGGTCACCACAACACATTAAAACTTTCAAAGGCTGTGAAATTAATTGCATGCAGAACAGCACTCAAGGTGCTTAATATTTTGTCTCCCTGGGACAGTTTGCTAAGAGCCATCTTTTGAACTACAAATACAAAGCAGGAAAGATGGGGCTCTCTCTGGCTGTGTCATTCTTCATTTTAATGAGGAAAAAATGTCACACTGAGCAGTGTGAATGTGAAATATTATAATGTGCTTCAGTTTTATGTCAGAGCAAGTATGTTTCTTAAAAGAGCCCTAATGATTCTAAATTTTAGACCTTGTTGACAAGACATCTGCTTACTTGGCCTGTGGTTTGAGTCTCATGTATAAACTCATTATCATATATATTAAAAGAAACCTATTAAAATATTTGCATTTTAAAATGAATGATTAAAAAGAACCCATCCACCCTTCCCATCTTTCAGAAACTTGTTCTTTTTGTCGTGCAAAGCATTCCACTGGGGAGAGAGAAATAATAAGTTTGTTATTTTCAAGCCATTTAACATTTGGGTAATTCTTATAATTACTTTTCTCTTTAATTGTTAAAGCTGGAAGGCTGATATAATATTACTTTTAAAATTCATAGTTCAATGTAAATAATCTTTTCTGTACCCGCAGACCTCTCAGCTGGATGCTGACTATAACCCTAAGGGTGCTCATTCCTCTTTTTGGTCTTATTTGTTATTTGCTCCTCATCAGTTTTCTATTATTCTCTTTCCTGCCTCTTCAGCTGTCTAGATGCACATGTAATGGGTGAAACAACACTTGAAGCCTTGCTGCTTGTTTATTTAAACAAACCATACTGAGATGAAAAGAGCTGATGATTACAAAGATGTAACAGATCTTATCTAAAAGCTCATCAGGCTCTTGAGAGACTTTAGAAGATCTCCCACCTGGACTCGAGGCTCTGAGATCTTTGCCTGCTGCCCCTGGTGCAGCACAGAGCAGGATGCTCCCCTTGCTTTGGTGGGCAGGTTGCTGGTTGGCTCTGTAAGAATGGGTTTGGGTGTTGGGGCTCAGCCCGCTCTCAGCTCTGTTAAGTTCCACTGAGCTGATGGTTTGCAGGTTGCAGACAGTTCTGGGTCTCCTCTGGTAGATTTGGTAGCTGCAAGAGAAACATTTGAATATATCCATAGGCCAAGAGGCTGCTTGCTATGCAGGCTGTTCTCTTGTTTGTTAAAAGGCCTCTGCACAAGGCACGAGGGGCGCAGCAGCATGCAGTGGGGAAATAGTCAGCTGAGAAGGTTCTGCTGCCTTCCAGCCCTGAGCACCCACGAGGCTGGGATGGCACGGATCTGCTAACACACCCACCAGCATCGTGCTGGGATTTGTATTTCAGATGGAGCAAAGGTGAGACTCATTTACTCTGGAGTACTGCTGGTTGCTCTGAGGTGAATTTTGTTTGGTGGCAAGGCTAGGAAGAAACTACTTTGCTGCTGAGGTTTTTCGTGCCTAGCGAGGAGACATCTTTATTTCCATACACTCCTCTTCCACTTTCCTCTCTTAAAAGATATAATCTTTGGTGTGTCAGTTTCCTAAAACATGCTTAGTGCTTTCTCAGGCATTTAAACCATTTTGTTGCATATTGAAAGCGGCTGTATGGGAAAAGGAAACAGCTCCTGCTGCTTCACAAAAGCAATATGTATAGCATCACAGCTGGAAATAGCATGTTTTATGAACCTGATTTATCTCTCTGCTGTGTGGTATAAATCCTGCTTCCTCACTGCATGGCCTGCATGTGCATTTTCAAGGGCCTAATCCTGCAAGGTCCTGAACAAGGTGCAGAGGAAGGATTCAATTAAAAATAAATGTTGATTAGGGGGTTGCTATAACTCCTACACATCCTTTGCCACCTGCCAGGGCAAGCACTCTGTAGAATGGCACAGATCAATGAAAATATTTCCTACCCACTGGAATTATTACATACAGTACTTAACACAATATTTGAAAATCAGAATTATAGCCCATGCAAAGCAGAACATGCTAACACCTCACTCAACACAGTCCCTTTGTTCCATTCCATGGTTGTTAGCAGACGATAGACTTTTATGACTTTCATTTTATGATGTTTTCCCTTTTGCGCAATGTATTTTGTTGCCAGTTTTCACAGATTGCCAAATCCTTTGTAGAAAGACAGCTGCCTGGTCCCTGTTAAAATATCCGAGTTGTCCAGGTCCTTAGCTAATTCATTGTTCCCATGATGTTGGGAAGGGTCACAGGTAACTGAGGCAGAGAGAGAATGAGGTATGAGGGTACTTTACATGATCCAGATGTGTAGGAGCCAAATGCAGCTGTGTTCTTGCTGCCACCAGGGCTCTCTGTGAGTGAACCACAGGTGCAGCTGTGCTCCGAGCTGCCAGGCCCAGCTGCCTTTCCAGCCCACCTGCACCAGCAGGTATCTTATCTTTGAATGTCACATACTCTACTGACTATTAAGAGCCATGGAAGCTGCGTTCTGTTTCTCTTAGATAATCCAGTTTTTGATTTAGTTGCCCTAGTATCTTGTCCTGTGATGAACATCCAGTATTGAACTACAAAACCTTGAGTATCTCTGTGTCTTGACTATGTACAGCATGTGCAACGTGCTTATTATGAAGGTTAGGCAACGATCAGAAGTCCAGCATGCTTGTTACTGTGTAAACCTCAGCAAGGTGTCCCTGTCCTGCAATTTGAAACAGCAAAGATATGTAAGAGGTGGGAAGTGTTGTTTGAACAATGGGGAAGCTGAAACACACTCATTAAATACCTCACCCAGCATCACACACATCGTCTGTGATGGGTTTGAAAAACACTTCTGTCTTCAGTCCTTTCCCTGTAACTTAGCAGCAAGTCTTCTGTCCTGCATGTGAACCCAATAGGTATACAGCCCAGTGACAGTTACTGATCAACAAAAAAAAGCTGTTATGCTTTACAAAGTGTTGGAGTATTTTATGTTTTCATGTCTGTTGTGGTGTCCTTCCCTCTCAGCATGAGACAGAAAGAGAAAGAGATCCTCCAGATAACAGTGTCTTTATTAGCTGTAAGTTCAGCCAAACGTGCTAGTTTGTCTGTCACTATGCTAGTTATCTGCAGGACAGGAATAGAAAACTAATGTCTAATCTTTAAAAAGGGCTTAGGAAAATTATTTCAACCTTTATCCTGCCCCAGCTCAGCTCTGCTTAAATGCTATAATAGTCTAAATAGCTTTTGTTTCCAACATGGACATCAGGGCACCATAGAGGAGCGGCCAGGAAGGAGGCAGCGGCAGCTAGCTGGGGACAGAGACCTGCACATAAAGACAAAACTGAGGAATGTTACATTTCCAACTTTCTTTTCATTTCTCTAACAAGGAAAGGTGCAGCTGTGCATCTGGGAATAAACCAGCAGGGGAAAGGTGAAGGTTGGACAAGGAGGGGAGCGCTCATCCTTGAATGCTAGCAAGAAATGCTGACTCTTAATTCAGTGGGTGCTGAATTCTCTCTGTGTCATTGTGACTTCTTGGTCTCCTAGAGAAGATCCTGGATATGTTTTTCTACTAAAACTTTTAGGAAAGAGTAAATAAATCTTCAGTAGTCTCTGGGGATTCCATCTGTGGCAGCAACAGGCTGGAGTGTGCTGAGTCGCAGCCTCTCATAACCACTGGAGAAACCCTTGGTGCTTCAGGAGCTTGTTGAAAACATCACCCAACTTAGGGTGGAAGAGGATAGCAGTGTATGACCTCGTGATACTGGCTTAAGCATTTTTACTGTCTCCATATTTAAAATACAGAAGTTGCCTGATGGGAAAGAGAAGATATAAAAGCCCATTTCTCAGAAGAGAGTGCTTTCCTTTGGTCTTGTGGGAAGAGAGAGGGCTAATCTATGCTGCTCAAGGATTTTTTTTTTTTAACTTCAATTTCTACTAGAAAAAAATGGTAATTTATGACCATATTTACTGGCTTCAAACTCATTATTAATTTACCTTTGCATTTCTCTTCAGTCTGGACTGTGCTGTCGCACAGAGCAGCTGCTCCACCCCACATCACACGCTGTGCCCTTGCAGAGCTTTCCCCATCCCCAGGTGAGTGGAAAGGAGACTGCAGGCCTGCATTCCTACGGCACACCCCTACATCAAATAGGAAGGGCAGAAGATGGCTTGGCATGGTCCAATACAGGATGTAAGGAGCAGCCTGTTCTGCCTTGGCCTCTAGTGGTATTTCAAGATGCTTCAGTGAGATTCATCTCAGCTGAACACAAAGTGCCTCTGGCTGCTCCACTCCATTAGGTATCTACACACAGCATTAGATCTAACTGGAGTAAAAACGTGATTTGCTTTCACTGCTTGCACTTTTGGATTCAAGGTGGTGTCTTTCCTCCTCTCCAAACAAAGGTGGAGTAATGGAAATAGCAGTGAGTCACCAGGTATACGGGGGAGACTGGCACTAGCATTAGCAGTTCTCCTGTTGTTCTGCTGCCCCTCAGAGTACGTTGGGCAATGCATGCCTCTGCTCAGGGTGTCTGAATGCTCTGGGTCACCATAGCAGTGAAAGGCCGTCCGTCCTTTATAGGAGGTGTTTATAGCATCAGTCTCTAGGGCAGAGTTAGAAAAGCTACCTGTCCTTGCTGTTAACTGCCTTACTGTTGAATGAAGTAAAACTACAGCAAATGGCCTTAGGATGTATATAGAGAAAGTGGTACGTAAGGTTATAGGTTTCTAGTCTGTATTATGGCTGATCATCTCAGTAGTGCTTGGGTTTGGGATTGGGACAGGCAGCTGCTCGCTCTTTTGGATGTAACATGGCCAGAAAACGTTCAGAGCTGGTGTTCTAATTGCAGACCCCCAGCCCCTCCCATCTGCACTGCAGCTGCAGTCCCTCTCCTGGTGCTGGCACAACACTGCTGCAGTCTCTTCTTGCCAAATAATGGAACTGAGCTTTGTTAGTGAGGCAGGGCCATGTACTGTCTGTGTATTTTGTTGGTAAGGATACGCTGTAGCTGTTTTTTTCTTTATTATCCATAAAGTTGAATTATGCACAACCAATTTCACTCTAAAGAACTCTCATGTACATTTAAAAAATAGAAACAGGGCTTCACTTTCATTTCATTATGTTCTAGTCTTTACAAGGGTTTGTGCTTCTGCTCCTGAGATGCCTTTGCTTACAATGAGAAGGTTACCTCGTACCTTATAATGTGCACCCTTATTTGACAGCCACTTTTCAGCTCAGTAATTATATACACAAATAGCATGCTATCAAAATGTACCATTAAATATATATCTTTTTAAATTCTTGCAGCTTATCTGTTTGGGAAGACACTTCTGTACCTGTGGACAAGAACTTCAGTAGCTAAATTGTCTTCCCCATCGCACTGAGCTTCTCCAGAGCCCTTGTAGATGCTCAAAAATAATTCCAAAATACCTTAGGAATAAGTATGCAAAGAACTAGAGCTCTGATATTGAAAATACCTGAGACCAAATGGGAAATTGTCTAAGAAGTAATCCAGGCAGCTACAGTACATGGCAATGCAAAATGTGACCTCTTCCCTTCTTCCATCAGAGGTGCTGCTTTTAACTGATACATTTCAGAGCCCAGTAATTAAAAAGCCTTGTGAGCAGCATGGAGCCACTGCCGGCTCTCATGTTATCCTACAAACGTTAGCAGTGATCATCCCTATAAAAATGTGCACGTTTTGTTAACTGCTGTCATTTATTTCAGAGCACTTATTGCTATAAAACATCAAAGACATTTTAATTAAGAGCTTAAATTTTTTATGCTGTGAAGTAGAAATATTTATGAAAGACCTCATCAGAGGCAGAATATTAAAACAAAACAGGTGTTTTAGCAGAAACACAAATAAAATGTCTATCAGTAAACATTAAAAAAATCAATTATTAATCGCGGTTCTTTTAATTCCTATTGAATTGCCTTCCAAAAATTGTGTGCCTAGGAAAGTATATGGCTCTAGTATTCTCTTATCCTGCCTCTTGGCCTTCCTATTTCTGTCCTGGGGTGCAGTGAATACATCATCTGCACCTTCAGAAAAGTTCTTGGGATCAAACTGAGATGAAGGTTATAAACTAATAGAGCCAAGTGTCTGAATTCTGTCCTAAGTGCTCTGTTGGAAGAGATGACTTTGCCGTTTCCTTGGCACGAGCAATTTTTCACTCCTAATGTTAGTATTTTTTCACCGTTGAAGATACCAAACCCGAGAATTCATTATGAACCCTTTGGTGGTCTGTAAATGGTCTGATGTTTTCTAGATCTGGCTCACATTTCTGTTGCTAGAATGAAACCGGATGTAGTTGTCTCTCCCCTGTATCTCGGCTTTCTTTGCCCAGTCTGGTTAGGAGGTATCTGTGAGACTGGAAAAGAATGTAAGGATGCAGTGTCCACCTTGGACAAGCGGATTGGTGAGGCAGATCCTCTTATGGTCAACGCTAGCTTTATTTGTCCTCTGAAACCCAAAACCTCTGGGCCTTTGGCTTAGAGCAGCCTGTAGGCTGCCCCCAGTTTCTCCTTCTGTTGTTATCGCCATAATGTTGTCCTCTGCCCTAAACCACTTGCTTGAAACGCTGCATTTGTATTGTAGCATTCTATCAGTTCTGTATTATTTATAGTTCCCTCACAAACATTAAGGAAAACATTGCGTTTGGTTCCATTGAAATTATGGCTGGGTCAACAAGATTAATGCTACGAAATCTCTGCTTTATTTCTGAAGATAAAAATTGTGTTTGTCGTGTAGGTTTTTAATTATCTGTATCTGTTTCAGCTCAGGGCCTACCCTGCACCCTGTGCTTAGCAAGGGGCCACCAGCTGTGGAGCCGGCTGATTCACAACAGGTGGCAGTAAGTAAAGATGCAATCATGGTAATTAGCAGGTGGGAGGGAGACGATCTACCTTATGTAGCTCTGAGAGCCCGTTCTAGAATAGTCCAAGTTTTCATTGCTGGTTGAGAAATGTGATTGGGTGACAAGATCTGTGTGAGCTGTGGGTGGAACTGGGAGGGAGGTGGAGCAGGGGAGGGGGAGAGAGCCAGGTGTTCCCAATCACCTACAAAAAGCTCAGAAGAGGGCTGAAGGTGCCTTATTTGTGCTGTAGGTGCATGAGGATGAGGTGTTTGTTCCTGCTCCAACTGGAAAAGCTTTATTTATCGATTTATTTATTGTAAAGAAAACTAGTCTGTCCTGGTAAGAACCTCGCTAGCTGTGAGGTGGGCTTGAAGCATCTGCTCTGCAACAGATGAGAGTGCAAAAGGAGTGAGGAGGACGTCCTTCTGTGAAGCTTTTCCACACCTCTGGGGATGAGAAGGAGCAAAGCGGTGCTGCTGCGTGTGGGAGCGACTGGTCTGCTAAAGGTGAGTGTCTTGCTGCTGTTATGGTGAGCTCCTTTAGCTGCAAAGGGGGAGAGATGCTGATGTTTTGGTGCAAATAAGAACGGAGGCTGAACATCTGAGAAAGAGGAGGGTGCCCACTTGTGGGGCAGAACCTTCCCTGAGCGCAGCCTGTGACTTGTGCTGTGGGTGCTCTTCTTGTGTAGAGCTGAAAGCACGTGCTGGAGTGCTTATCTTAGGGCTTTTAAGCTATGTAGATCAACCTAATCTTTGCTCTATTTTCATACTGATGACAGTGATGCTGTTGCAAAATTTAGTATGCCAGGTGAATATTCTCTGTTTCATCGATCTATCATCCAGTTCTATTGTAATTGACTGTCAAGTGACTCTGTTTTTTTGCTCCAAACTCCTAATGGAACTATTCACATTTTTCCAACAACTGTTGTTCAACTCAGTGGGTGAACTTGGTTGGCAAAGCTCCCTTGGTTGTATTGGAGGCCAGATTCCACATATGCTGTTTCTCTGCTAATTAGTGGATTTATGATTTTTCCCCTTTCCAGTTCTTTTCAACAATTAAAGGAACTGTAGTGGGTGCATCTCATGCTGTCTACTGCTTAAGAGAGTGAGGAAAGGAATCAAACTCATTAAAACATATTTATCCTTTGTGATGTAAATTTGATGACTCAATTCGAGGTACAAAATGGCAAGTGAGGTGGCCTACCAGCTTTGTTGAGATTGCAGTATATGAAAATGAGTGCCTCAAAGACAGAGGGTTCCAGTAACTTCAGCTGTGAGCAGATTTATTGCAGCTCTTTGATTGGGGGCTGAAAGCTGTGCGTCCAGTGCTGGCTGTGGTAGTGATCCTCCTGTCTTCATCTGAAGTTAGCAAAGGAATTAGACTATTGGCTAAGATTCTTGTGGTCTTTGGAATGGCAGAGCATATTTTCCTTAAATCTCCCTTCTGGGGAAGTGTTTACATGAATGCTTTGGATTTTTTTTTTTTTTTAAGGTAATCTTAACTTTCAAGTTATAGAAAGGTTAATCTTTCTTCTGTTTCCTACTGCATGGAATCCTTCCTTACTGAAAGCTGCAAAGAAAGTGTTATGACTCAAAACATGGCACAGCTCTGGTATCACTGGTGGGTGGGGGAGGAGAAAATTAGCTGTAGTCAAAGCAGCTGTTACTTGGGTAGAAATAACATGCTACATGTTTCACCTGAAGAGTTCCTTCTAGCTTCTTCTCAACTGCTCAGTTCCTTCATCTACTTTAATTTGACCAGTAAACTGATGTGTGAAAATCATGTGCTAGTTCAGAATCATTTATCTTGTGAATAACGTGCTTGAAAGTCCCTCAGGATGGCATTAACCTTTATGTTGATGTAAGTGAGGAGCTTTGTGTGATTTCTTAGGCTGTTGTGTGCTAGGTGCGAATCGAGTGCAGTTGAATGTAGTTCATCTTGTAGCAGAGTAATTAAAAAATGTTTTTGTAAGGGGAACATAGCAAAGATGCTCCCTCTGAAATAATGGTGCTATAATTGCAATATATTATTGTTTTTTATTTTGTCTACTTTTTAAAGCTCATAGATTATGATGCTCAGACTGAAAGGTATTCTGCTTCTTTCTCATCTCCCCAGTCAGCTGCTAACTTAAATGCAGTTCCAACTACCCGTCAGAACTTGCTTGACCAACCAGAAGATACTTTCTTGTCTTGTAATGTCTTGATTCACATCTTGCCAGGTAATCAAATATAGGAAAGTCTGTTGTGCAGTGCAAGCTGTTGATATCAATAACAAAATAGTGAACTTGGCTAATGCTGTGGGACAAGTGATTGCTAATAGGAATGGGAGTAGTGTGCTGAAATCAAAAGGTCATCAACGTGTGTCTGCAACTGATCCTTCATGGCCTTGTTTTTAACACAGGGGACTTTACTCATTCCTAGAATCTCCTGAATACTGTATTAAGGAAGGACTTCTTGCATGAAAGAAGACTTGTTGTAGAAATGATACAATCACCAAGGCTGGAAAAGATCATCCATTCCAGCCATCCATCTACCACCAGTGTTTCCCACTAAACCGCATCCCTCAGTACAACACGTAACTGGTTCTTCAGTACCTCCGAGGAAATGTTGCATGGGGTAGAAGTAAACTCTTTGTTGGAGTTGCTCCCATGCCTGTGTTTGCACTGCACATCTCCCGAGTGCTGCTGTGCCATAGGAACAGGGAGGACTGCTGCTCCTGCTTTGGTGTGGTATGTCAGAGATGTATGCTGTAGGATGTACTGCTTCTAGCAGAAGATATGGCAGTACCTAATTAGCCAGCAATTATCTAACGTATAAATTAGCTCGAGTAATAGATTCACTACTGCTACCTCTACATATGGTGTCAGAGATGGCAGTGAAAGGCTGCTCTGAACTGACTTGTCTCTTTTCAGAGAGCTGCTGTTAGGGGAGGTTCCATTCTGGTTTCTGAGGCTGGGATTACAGCCCTGTGCTGTGCAATAGGTGAGCAACTGTAATTCCCTAGAAATCTGTTCCAGCCTTCTGTGAGCTGTGAGTTTTCTTTTCAGACTCTTCTGGGCTGCCAATGTCTGTGAAACTGAAGAACGTCTGTGGCTCTGGGAATATGTAGGTGTTGTCAGAGGAGTGTGTTCGTTGTGCCTTGTGAATTTCGTGACTGGGGGGGGGAAGCCCTCACTGTTCTGCATCATTTCTGGTTCCAGAGGAGCTAATTAATGTGAGAGGGGAAACAGCCCAGACCAATAGAACTGGAATTGAATTCAAATGAAAATTTCACCTGGGGTTTTCTACTTTCTCTTAAATTTTGGAGAGCATTGCAAGATGAAATTTCTTCTCTAATGTGCCTCAACTAGAGCAATGAACGCAGAGTTGTCTGAGTGTGTGCTGACTGTGGAACTTCTGTGGCTTGTTTATCTGAATGGCTGCTACCTTTAAATGTGGTTTTTAACTACTTGATTATTCTTCTTGAAATCACATACTTTTAGAAATGCAACTTTACAGGATTTTTGTTTTATAGGAGTAACTGAAGTATAGTCTTTTGGGAAAGTTTGCTATTCCTGTGTCTTTAACAGTGGCTTCTCTTGATGCTCCTTGTTGAGATTCTTGTATGATTTCAGCCTTTCTCATTTTAAATTTGTCACATTCCTTTGTGTAAAGTGCAAACAAGTGGTTTGTATTTTGAAAAGAAGAAAAAGTTCTACCCTCTTTAGTTACAATTTGGAGAGTCTATTTCAGATGTTCTGTGAACGCTGAAGACTAAATTTAACAGTGCCAGTAAAACAGGCAGAGAAGCTCCCAGGCACGTAGGCAATGTACCCCAGGTTATAAATGTGTGCCCAAGACTCATTTCAGAAGAGAGAACAGTATGGACTCCTCTGCAGTTCCACAGGAAAATTATTCTGGCCAGTGGTAAAGGATCCAGCTGGCATTTTGATTGACTTCAGATGAAACTTGCATTCCAGGTTTTTATTGTAGCTTACACAAGCTGTCCAAGTACTCACAGCACATCCCCACGGAAAACAAAAGATGATGTATGTGCAGCTTGGTCTTGTTGCTACAGTGAATACGTGTGCAAGCTTAAAAAGGAGAAGAAACATTGAATGGTTGGGGTTTGAAGACATACGGTTTAATAGGAATAGCCTGAGTTGTGCAGAGTTTCTTTGCTTTGGTGGGTTTTTTTTTGGCTTTTTTTTTGGTTGTGTTGTTGTGTGGTGTTTATACATAGCAGTATGGTGCAAGGCAACAGAGGGTTTTAAAGTCGTGGTCTTGCCGCTCCTTTTGCTGTTGTTCTGATGTTTGGAAGCCTTTCCAAAGGATCAGTGGTGGTGTCTGTTAAGCTCTCTGCCCCTGTCCCACACTCTATCAGCAGGTGGCACCGGGCATCCTCACTGCCCTTAAAGGGGAAAGGTTGGTGTCAGGTACAGCTTGGGGCACAGCTCCAAACATCTGCACAGAGGAAGCTTGCTTGTCTGCAGTATGGGGCTTGAGTTCTGTTCCTGAGCTGCTGCAGCGAAGGTGGTTCTTCACCCAGTGCTGCTGTACAGCCGTAACAGGGCAGCAGAATGGTGTTAACTGCTCTTTTCTTGTTGGTGGGAGAGCACCCTGTTACAGATGTCAGTTACATCTGGTGCTGTTAGGATTTCTTCTTTCTCCAAACATACACAAAATTCTCCAAAACAAACACAAAGTTGAGTAGTTTCCTGAAATATGTTTGTTAGTCTTCAGAAGCACAGATGAGCTGATGCTTTACAAGCTACAGTTCTCTTTGTTAGCCTTGATGTTCTCGGTACTGTTCAGAGTGCAAATTAATCAAGGGTCCTATGCATCAAGTACCACGTGATGATGTAATTAAAACCGTCTGTAAATGCAATGGGGCCAAACTGGAGTTGCATGGGCAGTTCTAATTCTGGCAGTTCTTGATTTTGGAGTGCTTGGATTAGCAATAAAATGCTGTTTTATTGTGGTTTTTCAATGTAATTAAAAATATATTGGGAGATGAGCAAGTGAAGTAGGAAACAACACAAAAGATAATTACAAGCAGATCTTCATTTCAAGCAGAGAAGTTAATCTTCCTTTGGGCTCTTGGGCCTGTTTTAAGAGGGTAATTAGCCGTAGACCCTGCGGCTTCTGACTCCCAGTCTCAGCTTAAACCTCTACATCCTAATACACGAGGATGTGCAGCACCGAGGCTGGGAGAAGCTGTCAGGCACACGCATGCATTCTGCATGTTTGAACCTGGGGGCAGCAGCCTGAGTTCTGCTGGACCCTGCCTGCTCAGCAAGGACGTGTGAGCAACTGGTTTCAGTGAAGCAAAGAACCTCGGAAGCAATTCTGTTCCTGTGAGTGGATGAACTGCACCAGTCCTAGTTTTTCCTTTTGTTACACTGTGTTCTAAAGGTGAAAGTATACAGTCATAGCTGATTTTAGCCTGTCAGCTATAGAACCAATTAATTTGATATCTCCTTTACACTTTGTTTATGGGTCATTGTGTTTAGCCCTTCTGTTTCCTT